CAGGCAGAGCTTGTCAGGCTTTTGCATCAAAATTTTCCCAAATAACATACCTCCAACATCCCCATCCCAAATCTCTCACCCTAGTTGCCATGTAGGTCACACACTAGAATCCCAGACTTTTCTGAGACCCTTTCAAGTGTAGCCTTTAAGTCATCCTCATTGAGTCAGTATTTAAAAAAAACAAGGATCAAATTTCCCTTGGCACAATGAATGGATATGTCAAGCTTATTCTGTGATTTCCTCCCCCACTTCTACATACCTTGGTTTACTGCTATGGAAATTGGCAAATTGTAAGGAAAAGTTATTAAAACTATGAGGGCCTAGAAAATTATTTTCTCCGGGATAAGTTTAATGGCAAATCACAAGAAGTTGATATGACTATTGAGATATATCTTTTTGTAAGTGAACAGAAACACAAGAATAATCCGTAACAGTCATATTGGGGAAAAAATTCTACTCTTGCTGATAATTATGATTAATTATTTGGGGGTGGGGAGAAGGACTTATGAGACTGTCTCTGAACAAAAAACAAAAGCAGCTCAGAATGTGCCACCTGCAGTGACACGAGAAGCAGTGAAGTATAATGCAATAAAAGCAGAACAAAATAGAACTCCTCCAAAGACTAGCTTACTTCTGCTTCCAGACACGTATTTCAGTGCTCGCGGCTACAGCCTTAAAATGGATCAGTCTGATATTGGGAGGCTTCCCATGAATGGCTCCAAATTGCACTCTCTTAGGAACTCGGCATGCTAGACTCTAGAATTAGGAGGCCTTTTCCGCCAGTGTGTTTTATTAACTCACTATGATCTCATCAATTACACAGTCCTCTTGTATTATCGAGCGAGCACAACAGTGTTTTCGCTAACTATCCTCGCCATGATCTCAGAGAGTTCTATTGTTGGAATTCCAGTTGATCTCGATAGAGATGCTGTTTTAAATAAACCAGCTAGACAAGGCCTGGGGAGAGGCCAGAAGGGCTGTATGGCTTGGCCTCAGTGAAGTCACGTTTTCCCTGACTCCTTCCTTAGGTGTTTGCAAGTCCAGGAAGGTTATTTTGTCTCAATGCCTAAAGCTGATCACTTGCAGGTTATTAGGCTCATGTAAACCCACTGCCCAAGTGGCCAATATGCAAACCAGAATGGCAGTTTGCTCTTTTATCATGATTTTTTTACCCTCCTAGAAGTGACCACCATCCTGGACCTTGTGATAACAACTCCCCAGCTTTCCTTGTTGGGTTTAACTCTTTCTTTGGCTCCCCAGGCTTACTCTTTCCACCCGACTATGCATACCGGGAAGGTAGGGAGACCAGATAAGCTATACCAACAAACTCCTTTAGCTTCTGGCTTCCTGCTGGCTTTAGTTCATGGTGAGAACAGAGGGAGGAGAATGGGACAGGAGCTCTCCCCTCCCCGATTGCACCTCTACCAAGTCACCCAGGCCAGCTGTCACCTGTGCTAGTTGGAATCTCCAGAGACACAGAAGGCACAGTGTACGTGCTGATGCAGAATCACTTTAAGGGATTGCTCAGATGATGGGGAGACCCAAACCATCTGAACCCTGCAGGATGGACTGGTAGGCTGCACATGGAGGCAAGAATTGTAACTGGAGTGCAAAGGTTCTCTTCTGGCTGAATTCCTTCCTGCTCAGGGTCAAGTCAGTCTTTACTCTCTCAAGGCCTTTCAACGTATTGGGTGAAGCTGTCCCCTGTCACGGAGGTGTTCTTTCTTGACTACAAGTCTGTTGATTTGTGTGACAATCTCATGAAAAAAAAATGCCCTCATGGAAACATACAGATTAACCTTTAATCGAATATATGGATACCTTACCCAACAAAATTGACCTACACAAGCTGAAGCCAGAAGCCTGAGTTCAGGTCAGATGCTCCATGTGAAGGCAGAGGCATACGCTCTGTCCAGGATGTTGGAAGTGAGTAGCCAGGACTTGCAGCAGCATGCAGATGCGGGACACAGACATCCAGGGTCATGGCTTAACCCACGGCATCACAGTTCTTATCCCTGGAGGCATGTTTCTCAGTGTGAGGACAGGCAAGTTCTAGAGCCCAGTTTGGGCTGAGATTCTCTGCCAAAAATGTGGAGATAGCATTTGAAAACAGAATTCTTGTTTTGGTTTTGCCAGTTTTTTTTTTTTAACATCAGAGTTCTATTGTACAATGTTTTATACTTCATGAAGGAAAGATTTATTTTTCTTTTCTTTTTATGCTCCAGTTTGGTTGATTGTAAGCAAGGACTAAATGATCTTCAGTGTTCCCCTGAGGACATTGTTGATCTCATGGAATGGAACTGCCAGTACAGCTTACGGGGGACAGGCTCCTGGCCAGCCTTTTAAGTAGCCGAGTGTACTCCATTAGCTTCAGTTCAGTGAATGTAGCATCACCAAGTGCTTTAGTCCACTGTTGCTTTTCTAGAACATTCCTGGATTAGAGGTATGGCTTTATGGTTGCGTGCATCACTGTCAAAAAAATGAAACTGCGTCAAGTTTTCTGCTGTTAACTGTTGTCCAAAATCTCACGGCAACTTTCACCAATTGGTATTTTCTCAGCCTGCAAATATTTACTCTGTCACTGATCTTGCTTTCAGGGATCTTTGAACATTTTCTTCAAATGCAAAAGCTTTCATTGTTTTCATGAAATGAATGACAGGCCTTTTCGGGGAAGGGTGGGGGGGGATCCAGTTTACAAATAATGTTCCTGGCCATCAGCCTAATACTAGTTTTTCCCTAGGCAGAAATGCTTCCTCCTTGGCTAACCCAGATTAGAGTTTCACAAATTGTGATCTAATGGAGTAGGAGTGAAACTTAGTGGCTAATGTGCTCTCAGTGCAGCCAAAATAGAAATGGGTCATGATGTTTCACTTAGCAAGTTACTAAAGACGGTAAGATAAACATGCTTGCATTCAAAGCCTGGGAATTATTAGAACAATGACTGATGTGTTTACTCTCCCATCACCTAAGGTGTGCAGTCCTCCGTGAGAAAAGCAGCTCCCTCCACCCACCCATCCCCACCCCGCCCCCTATGGAAGCTATGTTCTGCGCTCCAAGCTCCCAGGATGTTGTTTACGGCCATAAAACAGGGGCGGGCTGTGCCCTCACTGACCTCGGCCTGATAAGGTAAGAAGCTGACCTTGATTCAAAAGCATGAATGCAACTGCCACAAGTTTCTGCTTTGTGTCAAAGACCAAGGGGCCTCAGAAAAAGAATTCTAGAGATGTAGGATTTCAAGTTACAAAGCACTGTAGAAACCATAACTCACATTTTACTGGCAAGCCATTTTGGGAACAGTGAGTGACCAGGGAGAGGTCTTGGAAGAAAACAGTTTAGTTAATAATGTAACTTTTGTATCAGTTCCTGGGGCCATCTTCCACTGCCTTCCACAGCTCCCTAGCAAGAAGCTGGGATGTAAGTGGAGTAGCCTGAATAACTGACACCCATGGGAAATGCTGGTGTTCCCAATCATGGCTTAACTATGGCATCAAGTTGCCACTCCCTTCAGTACATTTTTTCCATATTCAGCTACCTTTTTCTTTTTTTCCTTCTTCTTTAATCTACCATGTATTTTTAAGCAGTGAACTTTCTTCTCAAATATCTCTTCTATTTTGTTTCTATAGCTACCACAGTGGCCTCATTTTGTTATTCAGTGCTTCTGATTTTTCTGCCCGCTCCCCGTCTTGATTCACCTTCAGTCCATCTTGCAGGATGATGCCTGGAAATTTTTCTCAAAGTCTTGTTTCTGTCAGGTCATTAGACCCACCGAGATCACAACGGTCATGGTCATTGCCGCTGTCACTGAGTGCTTGCTGCAGGCCAGGCACTGTGCTTTTGCATGGGCTGTTAGCAGCTCTGTGAAGCAGGCATCATCCACCCTCATTATACAGATGAGGAAACAGAGTCAGATTCATGATGTGTCAGATTTTTCAAGTAGCAGAACTGGGATATGAACTCAGGCTAGCCTGCTTCCAGTCACTGTAAAATGCCAGTCTGCTGAACATACTCAGCAGAATTTCAGCCTAGAAAACACAGAAGGTGCTCAACAGACAGTAGTTATCATAAATACTTGATTAAAGGAGTTGAGATGAGTAGGATACTTGCAAAAGCCACTGTGTGTTTTTTCCCCATCGCTGCCTTGCAACCTCGTGCTGCTGATGTGTCCCAGACTGTGATCGCCACATGTCCTGAAAGGGCAAAGAGTGGATCACAACCTTACAGACTCCGTGTGTGTGTGTGTGTGTGTGTGTGTGTGTGTGTGTGTGTGTGTGTGTGCTCAGCCCTGTGGAACAGATTTTCTTTCTGGCAATAGGTTGCACTTTCACAGTGTGAAAGGTGTACTTAACTTTTGGGATCTTGGTGGAAGGAAGCAGGAAGCTGGAAGACACAAACAGCTGCAAACCCAAGCACTCTGATGTGGAATGGAGCCATCTTAGTAAAAACGAGATTTTAGCCGACCAAGTCTTGACTCCCACATACTAAAATATTAACCAGGCAGTCCATCAAACGCATGTGCTCCCAAGTTTTTTCCAGGTTCCTACAGGGGACAACATGGTCCTTTGAGTGGGGAGATCGTTGGACTAGGAAAGCAAAAGAGAAAGAGAGTGGCTTATAGTCAAAGGAAAGACCTGACAGTTTTGCCTGGGCCTGACCTGGTGGGCCTCACTTAGGCAAAGAGAGAAGCAATGTGCTCGGAAGCCTTCCTGAATGAACTTCCCACTTGGCATTTTACGCATTTCTCTTCAAGCACTTGTTCAAGGGACGCTTTGTTCGCAGTAGATCCGATCATTGCAGTCTCCCTGTAGAATTTGGGACAAAATTCAGCTTTTCTTCTCCCCCCCCCCTTTTTTTTTTTTTGCGGAACTCCTTAGCACGGCTCAGTTCTCAATCCCTTCCTTCCTTCCTCCCTTGATGCCGCTAAGCACACTCTTTGGCTATCACTCCAGCAGGATTCCAGCAGATTCTACAGCCAGTTCTCAGAAGCCCATTGTGCAGTCACAGAGAGTTCCTTGCAGTCTTTACAGCTTTGGGTTCCGTGCCTGCCCACTCTCATGGGCAGAAAGGCTCTGGGCACTGCCACCCACAGCCTTGCCCAGGCCTGAGCAGCTGTCGAACACTAGAAGAGCACACTGAATCTCATCATGCCCATCAAGCCTGTTGGGTGGATATGTGGGCAGGTGCTGAAGAACTTTTCTGGAAGAAGTACACACAGTCTTGTTGTAAAGGGAATATGGGTGTGGGAACACGGGGGGTCAGCCCCTGAGGGTCTGTCTGCTCTCCTCCTCACCTAGGCACTGGACTTGCTGTGTTCCCCTCTAATCACACAGAGGATATTTCTTAAGTTTTTTTTTTTCTTCTTCTAACCTCTTTCTTAGTCGAGGGAATCCAAAAAGTAATCATGGACCTTGTAGATGAGTTTAAAGATGATTTCCCAGCTATCCTCAGAATGTCGCAGTCCAATCAGGTATGTGGCTTCATAATGTCCAACAGGAATTCAAAAAAGAGATTGGAGCACTGCAGTAACTTCATGGTTGATTTCTTTCGTTTGTTATTGTTTAGTGTTTGTTGTTTTTGACTGTATGTTTGTTATGTTTGTTGATTTTGTAACTTCATGGTTGAAAGTGCTGGCAGCTTTGGGGAACACAAATTTCTTTCTTTTTTTAAAAATTATTTGAACGACAGAGTGCAGTAAAAGAAAGAATCTTCCATTTGTTGATTCACTTCCCAAGTGGCTGCAATGGCCAGGACTGGGCAAGGCCAAAGTCAGTAGCCCAGAGCTGCTTCTAGGTCTCCCACAGGAATGCAGGGCCAAAGCACCTGGGCCATTTTCTGCTGTTTTCCTAGGCTAACAGCAGGGAGCCACATTGGAAATAGAGAATCCAGGTCTTGAACTGGTGTCCATATGGGATGCTGGCATTGCAGTTGGAGGCTTAGGGTGCTATGCCATGGCACTGGCCCCAGGGGAACATGAATTATAAATCTTTTTCCATGGCAGAGGCCAGTGGGAAACAGAGATTATGCACCAGGAAGTGAGAGTTGAGAGTACTTCAAAAAGTTCATAGAGTAATGGAATGAAAAGGTAATACACATTTTCTCCCAGTGTGTTATCAAGCCCTCACAGACGGATGAACTAAGTTTGAAGATAGCCACTGTGTTATTAGATTACAGATTAAGATGTTTCTCACTGCCACCACTGCACTGAAGTTTACTTTTATGTAAGATTTGCTTTAATGTAAAATCAGAAAAGTATCTAAAAAGCTAAGGCAATTAAGTCCATGCAGAAACTGAGATATATTGTAATAGTGAAAAGACAATTTTCATATACAATTAATTTTACTCTAATGTGGAAAGAAATCACTGGCATCCATTGAAGTACACTAAGCTGTAGTATTTAAATTTTCTGCTCTGAAAAGAACTGGGAACAGATCAGATGCTGGCCGTGGAGGAAGAGGAAGGCAGGTGGAGTCATATAGTCAGTGAGAAGTAAGCCTGAGTTACTCAGAGGTGAACAGTTCTTTGTGAGAATGTGTGACTCAGCAGTTTGGACCACAGTTGGAACAGGCCATGCTGTGCAGAACACAGCACAGTGACAGTTTGAAAAACACACTTTAGGCACTATTGCATGATGTACATGGCTTAAACATGGAAGCAAACAAAAAAAAATCACTCTGCCACAGTAATTGTGCAGTCCTATAATTCATTCCAAAAGAGAGACATTACAAGTAACTTAATTGTTGCTCCCAATGCCCAGTCACTAGCCACTGACTAAATGCCTCAGTATTCCTTGGAACTAGGAAGAGGGAATATAGTGACCAACTAGATGTGATCTAAAGGAAATAGTTCAACAAGTAATGGTGCTAAACATGCCAAGTTGTAGAGCTACATCCAGGCTAGCCAAGTGAGTAACTCTGCATAGGCTGGGAGAGAAGGCATCAGGAAGGAAAGGGCATAGATCAGGTCCCAGAGGACCAACTCATGATTGATTTGAGTGTGGAAATGGCATTTAATTGGCACTTACTGGTAAGGAAGGCTGACCAGATGCCGAGGGTCTGGGAAGAATCTATTAAAATGAGAGACAAACACAAGAACATTAACAATGAAGATAGAAGATATTGGATGCAAGAGTTACTGAGCAGAGTTTGAAACTGACAGGGTGGGAAGAAAGGACCGTGCAGATGTTGAGGAAGACTGTGGTTACTTGAGTGGCTAAAAGAGACAGGATCCTGTCATCTAGGATGGAGGACAGTATGAAGGAGAGCAGGCTTACAGATCATCTAACTGGGTCATGGTTTAAGCCACGGAGTTGAGTTGCAAACTGTATATGTAGATCTGAAGTTCAGAAGAAGTCTGGGATGAAGGTGTATGCTTAGGAGTCATGGGTGTGTTGTGTAGGTAACTGTGACTATGTAACTTCAGCACATAGTTAAATCTGCGGGCTGTGGGGGATATCACCAAGGGCTAGGAGGTTAGGAGTAGTCTTCACTTCCCAAGCTTGGTGACAGCAGCTCCCACTGCGCTCCAGGAGCCACTGCACCAAGTGGCAAAAGTCAGGGGTTTTTAATCTCTCATCTTCCAACCAGATTGAGAGACACACAGTACAAGTAGAGTTTCAGGCAGGAAGGGAGTTACCAGAGTCCAAAGTTTTCCTGTAGGTAACTAACTTAACATAACACAACAGGAGGCAGGAGGGGCCAAGTGCGCGCAACCTCCAGAGTGATTTCCACACTGTCAGTTATTCTGAATGGTGTGGAAGGCAGGAGTGGCAGTGGGATTTTTGCTCCTTCAGTTAACTTGAATGGCAGGAGAAGAGGTAGGAAGGGCATGTGGAAACACTTGTTTCCGCGTCCTGTCTGCCGTCAGGCGATTGCAAGCCACCAATGGCTGCACCCCATAACAGCCTGCATGCCCTCCTAGGTGCCTGGGGTCTGGTCCTATCCAGCTTTGTTCTTACTAACGAATCATGCTTGTTTATGTCTTCAAACTCAAACAGAGCAAATACATATATATACACACACATACATACACACATATATACCATATGTAACATAAATACCTTATATAACATACATACATTTATATATGATATATTTTATATTATGTGCATTTATGTTTAATATATAATTATATATAAAAATATATAGCTTTTGATCTGAATAGCGGCTGATGGCTGTATATGTCAGTGATCGAATGTGTTAAATCCATACATTTCTAAATGCGAATGAATGGACAGACATGTTTGTCTGTCATTGACTCACGTGTAAATTTAACTGTGAGGACTTGCAGAACCGACTCTTGGAAGACTCCAGCAGCGTGTCAGCTGGGGACTGACAACAGTGTCATTGTACAAGTGAGTTCTTTGATTGTTTCGAAGAGAGATAGACTTCGCTGGAGCTAATGAGGGGAGAATACTGGTGGGCCTCTAAGAGAAAGTAATGCTCCTAACATAACACACATTCACGCTGTCACTTATCGTTTGGAAGAGGCAGGACACAGAGGAAAAGGAAAAAGGCTGGTGTGATACGGGTAGGGGAGTAAACTCTTTTTGTTGTTGTTGATGCTCTAACACCCTCTCTCAGGTCTCAGCGCTGAGCAAGGGCAGAGCTGAAGTGTAGGCACAGTGGTGAAATGATGGTGTTGGATGGTGGTCAGCTGAGAGGCAGAGGCTAAGGAGGGATCCAGAGGGGATGCTGAGTTTTCTAGGTCCATGTCTTGCATTTGGAGTCTAATTGGTTCTCTCTTTTTGTGTTCCTCTGGCTTGGTACACTGGAGACTTTCCTTGGCTGTGTTCTGGAGTAGGGGAAAGAGAACAAGGGGCCAGGTCTAATCTAAGATGTCACGTGGTAAGTGGTTAAGGGCAACACAATAACAGCAGAAATGACAGCAGAATCCTCAAGCAGGATTCTGGGTAGCCAAAGGCAGGCCTGGCAAGTCCACAAATCCCTTCCAAGTTGTGATTCTCCCACCATGGTGGAGGTCAGGAAAGCCTGGCTTTTGTTTAACCTAAGACAGTTCCCTTCATCTCTTTGTACCCCGAGTAGCTCATCATCAACAGGGGTTCTGGAGAAATAGATTGACCTGAGGAACTCTGAGTTCTTATTTCCAACTCACTGAAGCCATTGACTTAACAGCTTTATATCATTCAGAGAAGAGCATAAACATAATGAAGGTTATTTCATCATTTTGAAACAATTACATTTGCCTTTTCCCACCATTTCCTTTGAAGAATGTGTTGCTGAGATTGGCAAGGAATCTGAGTGGTCTGGGTATATCATCATGCATTTCAAGTCATTTGCTCTTCAAGAGGAAATTATGCAGAAAATGTTGTTATTTATTAGTCATTAACTAGATAAATTTTTCAAAGGACAAATTGTAAGTTCTGCAGTGTTTTAAAGCATTTCTATAGGTAGCTTCCTAGTTATGAAACACTCTGAAAGGAATGGTTTTAAGAATACTTAGGACTACTTAGAGGGATTTTTGCATTGGATTAAATTTTAAGTCTTTAAATTTTGTGATTTGCATTGAAGTCTTTTGCCCTTCCCCAGGCACTGAATTATTTAACAAGATGCCGTCTTGCTAAGCCTGCAGCAAAGAACTATTTGCTGGGAACAATGAGGAATTTTTATAGAGGAATATTTCAGAATAGTGACTATTGAGTAATTCTCGTCATAGATGAAGGTTTTAAATGAAATGTTCTTTTTGAGGCTGGGGAGGTTAATTTTGGCATCTTGGATGGAAACTGAGGCCTCCACGATCCAGACCTTTAAACTCCTCTGTCCCAGCATGACAAGTACAAAGCCCCTGGGTGGGAGTACATCCATCAAGTTGAACAAGCCCAGAGGATGGAAGGGGAGAGAAGAGGATCCGTGAGGCCAGTGAGGTGGAGCAGGGCTGGTGTCTGGATCACTGTGTGTTCCTAAGGCCACAGGAAGCCACCAGTGCAGCCGAGCAGCAGCAGTGAGAATTGATCTGACGCAAGTTTCACTTGGGTCTCTGTGTTCTGAGGTTTTGTTGAATGAAAGAGGCAAGCGTAGGTAGAGGGAGGTGAACTCAGTCATTGGGAGAAGAGATGGTGTGCTCTCCCACTGAAATTGCACGAGTGTCGGTGCCAGGGGCTCCGAGACGTGGTCAATCCTGCAAATCCTGGCACTCTACAGAGAAAACAATTGAGTAAGATCTGCTGACAAGCCGGTTTTACAGATGGAGGATAGTAAAAAGCTGAGGCCATAGCAATTGGGAGTTCAGCATTAAAACTGCTGATGGCAAAGAAATGAGTGTGGCTCTAGGAAAAAAGAAATGGAAAGGAATAATAGCATAATATATACTTCAGGAGTGATTTCAAATGGAGAAACCTGAGGTAGGATTCTAGACCCAACTTTATAAACTGATGCTCTTTTTCTCAAGACTTCTAAATTTCCTTCTGGTGTCCTTGAGGTTTGGAGAAAGGAGCTGGAATAGCTTTTCTAACGATGCTATCCGGTCCCCCCCACCCTCCCCAAAAATGATTATACAAATTTGCACACTTGGCATCCAGTTCCAGGATTCTTAGACTAAGAATCAAAAAACAAAAAAGAAGAAGAAGAAGGAAAAGAAGTGAGATCAACATCAGAATACACACTTGGTTTGATAAGAAAACAAACAGGGCAGTCAGTAAACAAAAGGGAAAAACTGACAGCTCAAGGAAGCCTTTAACGATGTTTCACTGACTGAGAAATCCACTTACTAAGAGTGAGTTAAAATCATCACAGCGAGGCAACTGTCCTGGACAAGCAGAAGGCTCGTTCTGCATCGAGAGGAACCCAGTTGCTTCTCCTCGGTTTCACCTGCCCATCGCCTTAGCCACAGAGAACTCCTGACCTCACACCCAGGGCCTGGCTTTACCATTCCTACTCTGTTCTCAGGAGCAAAGAGGGGACCTTCTCAGGAAAGACTTGGTGAGTGGCAGGGGAAAAGCAAGATGATCAGGAACACCTGGTTGTCAGAAATAACCCTTCTTTTGCTGGCGTTCTGGACGTTATCAAGAGAGGAAAGCCCCAAACACAGACTCCTGAACCAATAGACAAGGTTTTAGAAAACATGAAACTGCGTCTTAACCCACTTCCTGTTTGCTGTGGCATTGTGAATCCTCTCTTCATGGTAAATACTGAAGAGAGAAAAACACTCACCAACTGCAGTCAGATGCTGAGTCAATCTTATTCCACTCTGGGAGTTGGAGTCCGATGGAGATGGCCTTGGATGTGCAGGGGCTGTGGATTCTGTGGGCAGTTCGCAGCTGGGATAGAGCAAGTGGTTGCACCTGCCTCTTATTTTGTGTGTGCTGCCTGCCATGGAACAAACAGCTGGCAGGACCGCTCTCCTATTCACGACTTGGAGCTGTAGCCAGTGCAACAGCTCACAGTCGGATGGCATTCTACTGTCAGTGTTAACTAAGGCAAGGGTGCACGGCGACCCCACTTTGGCTAATGGACTTTCTCGGTAAAGCGCACTGAGTAAACCACAGCAGAACACCAAATGCAGCAGAAATAATCCTGCTTGGCAGTTCAGAACAACTGTGCTTTTCTCCAGTGCCAAACGCCTAACAGTAACAGAAGTGCTGAACCTGGAGGACGGAAGAGCAGCCATGAGATGATCTCAGGGTGAAAGCAATGCATTTGAAATAAATATGCAGTGTGTTTGAGCTTAACACAAAAACACATTATTCATCATTGGCAAAATATCCACTTTGAAGTTACTTTGGATTTACGTATTTCGATGAAATGACTATGTAGAGCTACAGAGTTGCTCATTCATGTTACTGGCCAAGAGACTTCTCCCCAAGGTGTACATGGAAAGGCCGGGAAAGCCTGTACAATTGCCTCCGTGCTCCAGGGGAAGCACACTGCCTGGTGCCTGGAATGCGGTCCTACCGCATTGCCGGTACTTTTGCCTTTATTCCTTTGCTGATGGAGCAGAGAAAGACCTGCAAGTCACGGCGTGGGCAATGCCACGTGTTTCCCCTCCACCACTGGAAGAAAACCAATCGTGTTTCTGGTCTTTTGAAATAAAAACCTCTTCAGCTTGTTCAGTAGTATATGGGATGTTTGTATTTTCTCTAAAGTATACATGCCATGTGTTTTGTGGCTATGCTCTTGTGTTCTATTTAATGTTAAAAAAAGTAAAGTTTTTATGAAATTGGAAATAATGCAAATGATCTCGGCTGTGCCAATGGATTTTTGTTCAGTAAAAAAATATAAATCTCTGTAGGTCACATTCTGTTATGAGACCATTTTAACTTCTTACTGGTTTCCTCATTAATTGATAACTATATAGGATCTTTGACAATTAACATTTTTGACTCAGCTTCTTTTTGATTTTTACAGGAGTCATGATTTTACTGTTCTGGAAATCGTAGTTTAATATTTGCCTACTTTTATAATAGTGAGTGCTAAAAAGTAATAAAACATTTTTTTAACAGAAAAATTCTAAAGTAAACTGGAAAAGGATATATGTGTTACTGTTGGGGTAAGAAATTTTACCAAATTCTGAAAGTGCTCTTTGAAAATCAAGCAAAAGGACACAAATCCAGGGGAGAATATCAAGCATGGTTGCCCTTGGCCAGTTGCTTCAGTTCTGGAGACTTACCCTAAGGGAATAAATGCCATATAAAGGTTTAAGTGCCAAATCCACACACGCAGCTCCATGCACCAGCCCCATGCACCATGAAGTTCAATGGCAGCAGTCTCTGCCAGAGGGGACTTTAATGAACACGTCAGATGAGCACACTCCAGTGACTCTTCCAAAACTTCTTTTTCAGAAAAGAGAGCCTGTGCAGAAAACATCCAGAATCCGAATGGCGCTGGCGTTAGCTAGGATCAACCGGGGGACATTGATCCGAGGCCTGAGCAGCCTCTCCAGCTCCTCCAAGTCCCTGGCCAGGCTCCTGCAGCCTCAGCTCACATGCCGAATTGTGGAGCTGAGAACCCTCGCCCGCCGCCTGCTGCGGGAGGTGAGCCTGCCCCGGCAGCCCCTCTACCACACTCAGGTACGTGAGTACTATCTCTATACACTATGTGAACACTGAAAGGACACTTTTACGTTTGCAAGATGTGGAAAATAATGATGCAATGAACTGGGTTGACCCACATGAAAAATATATAAACTTGGGTAAGAGAAATGAGTGGTGGAACCTTAACCAATACAGTGTATTAGCAGGCTTGAATAACTGTGAAAAGCGGAAGTCATGGGGACTTTGCTTCTACCTTATTAGTATTTTTTAAACATTTATTTGAGGAGCAGAGAGACAGGTGGGCACAGAAATCTTCCTTCTGCTGGTTTACCCTGCACGAGCTGGACACTCAGTCTGGTCTTCTCCATGGGCAGCAGGGGCCCCATGGACTTGAGCCATTACTGGCTCCTTCCTGGCGTGGCAGCTGAGCCTCAACTATAGACATTCTGGCGTAAGATGCAGGTGTCCTTGGCCACACCTCTGCTGGCATCTACCTCACTGAATACCATCAGGTAGTCAGTGTCACGGGGTTCCACTTAAACATAAGGCTGCAAATTGCAATGCAAGTCAAACAAAAAAAGAAATTTCACAAAGAATCCTAAAAGTCCTTTTATTCCTTTCTCTGCATGACTTCCAAGATAATCTTTGCTTGACATGTGAGTGTCTCAGCTGTAAATCCATTAGATGGACCCATCAATAACTTGACACATTTCGGATTATGTCTTCTGTGTTGTTTCCCTGAGACTCAGCTATGTTTGGTTTAGTTGTTTTGTTTTTTTAAATTCTTTTTTAGTTATATTTAGCTAAGGACAGCAGCTCTCGAGACACTTTTAGAATTGATTTTGTTTTTGTTTTTCTGTTCCAAATGTTATGGTACAAAACTCTAGGCTGTCTCTGCCTCCTAACTTTTCATGACAAAACATTCAGAAATCTGGCAGGTCTGCCTTTGAAAACTCAGTGACTCCATTTGCACTCTCTTATTTGAAAGAAGGAAAACCAGGCTGAATCTGGAGCTCAGAAAGCAGAGCTTCCCTGCCTGATGTAAGCTGGCAGAGCTGTTAGGGGTAAGGACAGGTCCTCAGGTGGTGTTTTCTGGCTCCTGGTGCTTTTTCTCTGTCACTTGCTTCCACTTTCCCAGGTTGGATCCGTTCAGACAGCCTTCCCCTCTTCTGGCCACAGTTGTGTGCAACTGTGTCTTTCTAGGTTCAGTTACAGCAGGAAAGAGTCCTCGACTTGGAGACCTTGGCAAAGTCTACAGCTTCTTCTCTAGCAGGGCTCACCCCCTCTTGGGAGGGAGACCGGGTGTACTCCCTGGCCGGGGACTCAGCATCCTGCTGAATTTCTGAAAGTTGTATGAAAAGAGTAATCCACCAAACAGAAGGGATGTTGCATGGCCACCATCAACAAAGAGCCACTTTCGATGTTTCCAGGCATCGTCAGATTTTTCAAACATGAATTGCCCGAGAATAGCATTGGCTAAGGCCTCCCTTGATAATGCCTGATGTGAACTTGTGAATTTCCTTTTATCCAGTTAAGAGATAGGAAAGATGAAAAAATATATTGTTTGCCTTTTTGTCTTGATGGACAGTTTTTTGTTGTTGTCATTTGAGATACATTTACTTACTTATTTGAAAGGCAGAATTCAGAGAGAAGGGGAGATGGAGAGAAAGAGATCTGTCACTGACTTAGTCCCCAAATTCCTGCAACAGCCAAAGGTGGGCCAGGCCGAAGTCAGGAGCCCAGAATTCAATCCATATCTCCCAGCTTAGTGGCAGAGGAGCTTGGAAATCTATCTCATCCACCAAGTTAGTGACAGAGGCTCAACTATTCAGGCCTCTTCTGCTGTTTTCCCAGGGGGCATCAGCAGGGAGTTGGATCAGAACTGGAGAAGCTGGGATTCGAACCAGCACTCTGATGTCAGATGCTGCATTGCAGGGGGCCAACTAGCAGGCTCCCTTTTTACACATTTCAAACCAAATCCTTTGCAACAGGTCTGCAGTCACACATTGCTTAAGGATAGTGACCTGTTCTGACAACTGTGTGTTTAGGTGATGCTGCCATTGGGAGGATATTGTAGAGTTCACTCCCATGTACTAAGACGGCTAGGATGTCCCTGGGCAGTGAGCTGTTATGGGTCCACCATTGACTATGTGACTTGCCATTGACCAAATTGCATCATTATAAATCACATGACATTGTTTATGTTTGGTCTTTATTTATTTTTTAAAATAAACTGTTTATTTTAGAGTAGTTTCATGGCCCCGCACAGTAGCCTAGTGGCTAAAATCCTCACCTTGCTTCAGATCAGCCCAGCTCTGGCTGTTGTGGTCACTTGGGGAGTGAATCTGCAGATGGAAGATCTTTCTCTCTGTCTGTCCTCCTCTCTGTAATCTGATTTTCCAAGAAAATAAATCTTTTAAAAAATAGTTTTAAATTCCTGAAGCAGAAATGATGAGGTTGAAACAAAGAGTTCTTACATACTCCACACTCAGCTTCCCTACCTTTTTTTTGGGGGGGGGAGAAATCCTTCTATCACTTCCTCTGAACCCTTCATAATTCCTCATAATCACATTATGTGCCAGATTGTGTTTTTTTAAGCTCCTACGTGTAAGGCAGAGGATTATGTGGTGGTTTTTTATAAGTATGTGAAGTATGTCATTATTTTGGTAAGGATTACATTGAATCTGTAGATTATTTCAGGCGGTCTGAATGTTTTAACCGTATTAATAGTTCTTCCAGTTCACAAACAAGGAATATCTTTCCAATTTGCGTGTCCTTGATTTTTTTTTTGCGTGTGTTCCAACTTTCATTGCATAGATCTTTCCATTCATTAATAAAGCTTATTCCTATATATTTAATTTTTGAAGCTATTGTAAATAGGGTTTCTTTCTTGAGTTCTCTTTCAGCAAGATCATGGTTACATGATTGAAATGCTGGTTTTTGTGTGTTGGTTTTGAAGCCCACGACCTTAGAAGTGCTTCATCAGCACTAACAACTTTTTGGGGGAGTGTTTAATTTTTTCCTTGTTCAAAATCATGTTACCTGCAAACATGAGTACTTTGATTTTTCTGTTTTCCAATTTTGATGCCTTTTGTTTCTTTCTCCAACACGATTGCTCGTGCTGATCCATCTACTACGATATTGAATAAGAATGACGTAAGATGTAAATCTAGATCTGAGAAGAAATGCTCTCAGTATTTCACCATGTGGTATGATACTGGCCATGGACTTGTCACGTGTGTTGGGTCTTTGTTTGGCTTTGGTGTCAGAGTCAAGGCTGACCTCATGGGAGTTTGGTGGATTTCCAGCCTTCCAACATTTGGAATGATTTGAGAAGCGTTAGCGTTATTTCCACTCAATGTTTTGTAGAGGGACTAGCGCTGTGGCCAAGCAGGTAAAGTTGGCATTCCACATGGACTCCGATTCACAATCCACTTGCTCCACTTCAGATCCTACTTTCTACTCATGTACACGGGAAGGCAACAGCAAATGGTCCAAGCCCTTAGGCCCCTACCAGCCACATGGGGGAGACCTTGAAGATGCTTCTGGCTCCTAGCTTCCGACAAACCTAGCTGTAGCAATGGCAGCCATTTGGGAAGTGAACAAGCAGGTGAAAGATCTCACATTCGTATTCTCTCTCTGTAAACTATGCCTCTTAATAAATAAAAATCTTTTTGAAAAAGCATTTTGTAGAATTCAGTCGTAAAGCTCTCAAATCCTGTGATATTCTTTGATGTGTGACTTTAAATTATTACTTCAATCTTATTACATGTCATATGTCTGTTTTAGATTATATGTGTCTTTTTAGATTTAGTCTTGGTAGCTTGTGTATATCCAGGAATTTATCCATTTCTTATAGGTTTTCAATTTGTTAGCATACAGTTTTTCATAGTGGTTTTTTAGGAACCTTTGTAATGTGTTTTTTAGGAATCTTTGTGCTGTGTGTATTTACTTTAATTGGAAAAGCAGATTTACAGAAAGGAGAGAGAAATGCCTATTGTCTTCGATTCACTCCCAATATAGCTACAATGGCCAGAGCTGAGCTGGTCTGAATCCAGGAGCCAGGGCTTTCTTATTGGATCTCCCAAATGGGTGCAGGGCCCCAAGACTCTGGACCATCCTCTGCTACTTTCTCAGGTTATAGGCAGGGAGCTGGATGGAAAGCAGAGTAGCCGGGACACAAACTGGTGCCCATATGGAATGCCAGCACTCTTAGGTGGAGGACTGGTCAATTGAGCCATTGCTGCATTTCATTGAATTTCCTTAAGATCATTATTTTAGATCTGTTTTAGGCATTTCAATGACATTCTGCAGATTCTTCAGGAATCTATTTCTGGAGACTTCCTTGCCTCTGATCCTCTGGGCTTATACATCGATGACAACAGCTGCTCACGAACCCTCAGCAGCAGACAGAACGTCCCTGCCAGGCATCACAGAGCATGTGACTTGGGCACAAGTTATTCCTCGGCTGCAGGTGCCAAGGGGCCTGCTTACTGCCTGCTAAAGAACCCTGGCTCTGGCTCTGAGTAATCCTAGGAGCCACAGAGCTGCTTCCTGTTCCCTAAGGAGCAGCAACAACTCGGGTTTTGGAGGTAGACAGAGGCAGCATGGATTCCTTTGGAAGAGCAACATTGTCCCTGGGACCCTGGGACCTCAGTCGGATTTCTGATTCAAGGCCAATGAAGACAATGGGATTTTTCTGTGGTTAGGGCTGCCGCTAGGCAGTGATGGTGGACATTATGGGAACTTTGCACTTGCTTCCCCAACAAGACAGTGTCCCCAGGCAGTCAGCAGGGGCGGGAGCTACACCCTGCTTTCTTCCTCTCTCTCTCTCTCTCTCTCTCTCTCTCTGCTGCTTTTGGAGCCTCTGTGCTGTCACTTCGTTACTGAATGTCCGCCTGGTTTGTCTCCTGGTAATGTGGTCCTCCCTTTCAGGCTCTGGTTCTCCTTGGGGGTGGAGGCGAGCACAGGCTCTGACTGCTCGGCCGGCTTTGATCTTCTCTGCCATGTGATCTCCTCAGCAACTGTTCTTTGCA